CCAGCCCTAGTTCGGGCACCCACACATGTATCAGTAACACCACCAGCAAGCATCAAAAACACCTCACACACTCCCACATCGGCCCTAATTCGGCCACTCACACACATATTAGCAACACACACACACTCAACAAGCAATTGAACCACAAACCATTAGTAAATAGTGAACATATCTCATACACACACACACCGACCCCTGTTTAGCCACACACACACACACACACCACACCGGCACCAGCATCGACGCCTCAGATACTCTACAATTCATCGTCAACATTGGTATACAACCACACTGACACCAACATCGGCGCCTCATATACTCTCTAAATTTTCGCCAACATCGGCGCAACATTTCTCGAAGTTCACTACACGCACACACTACTACTGGCACCAACATCGGTGCCTCAAATATACTCTAAGTTGTCGCCAATATTGACATACCGCTTTTAAAATCCACCACACACACACACACACTCTTTTCACTCGTCATTCCTCATCTCTTCTATTCTTTCCAACCTCACAAATGAATACCTAACCAAGTCCATACCAATTTATCATCACAAATGTTGAAATTCTGAATTTATTTACCTCTTGCTTCCATCATCTTTTAGCTCGATTATTCTTCTTCCACTTCCTCTCTCAGTCTCCCTCTCGGTCAGGTGGTATATCCGGTATGGAGCCTTAGAAATAAGTTGTGTTCCTAGTTACAACTCCATTATGAACTCAACTTCTCGGTCATGTGGTATATTCGATATGGAGCCTTAAAAATAAGTTGTGTTCCCGGTTACAACTCCATTATGAACTCAACTTCTTGGTTAGGTGATATATCTTGAGGAACCTTCTTGAACACATCAGGAATACCAGTAAGCAAATAAAAAGAGAAAATTGTTGTTCTAGTTTATTAAATATGAGATTATGATATTATTTGTGTTATTACCCCTATAGGTCGATTTTGAAAATCTCGTTACGGTAAGTATGTAATAAATGATTTTATTTATGATAAATGAATTTATTTAAATTAAAAACTCCATTAGTTGTTTTTATGATTTTTACCAATATTCATTTTTGTATCGGTGAGTAGCATGATATTTTTACTAGGCTAGTGTAGCTCACCATTTCATTAATAATTTTAGATCAATAGGACCAAGATGCAAATCCCGATCAATAAGAGGGTTGTGAATAGTTCACCACCCGGACTCCCTTCATTTCTATATAATGTGGGAGTGTGTGAGGTGTTTTCTATATTTGCTGGTGGTGTTATTGATACATGTGTGGGTGCCCGAACTAGGGCCGGTGTGTGTGTGTGTGAGATGTGTTTCACGAGTAATGGTTTTAAGTTTTATGTGTTGGATGAAAGGGAACTATATATATGTATTACTGTTGTGTTGAGAAGAAGTGATGTTGTTGTGAGTGTGTGTGATCAATTATAGGCCAGTATGTGTGCAGATTGAATATAGGTAATTTATTTTTAGAGTATTTGTGTTGGGGCTGTTGTTGGAAGAGAGTGTTGGGAGGGTGTGAGTGCATGGATAGGAAAGTGTGGGAAGAGCATGTTCAGAGTGTGTTAGATGAGTACATGAGAATGGTCGTTGTCTAGTAGGTGTATAGATGAGCATCTGGAGAGGTTGAGATAAGGTTGGATAGGGAGGGAGGATGACTAGAGGATTTAGTAAGGGTAGGCGACATAGTTAGGGGAGGGTTCAAAAGTACAATAGATGGGGAAGGATGGGAGGAGAATGGTGGTAGACATAGGTGGGAGCGATCTATATGTATTTCCGTACTCTGTTTGAACTTTAAATTTATTTTACTGGAATATGTGCTCACTATATGTCATTGCAGATCCAGTAGAACGAGAAGAGGAGCTGAAAACTCAGGTAGTAGGACAATACCTAGAGGAAGCAAATTGATAGTGTAATAGTCATTAATTTTCATTTATTATTCGGGATAGTAAGTTGTAAATTGAAACACTAAAATTGCTTAAAGTAGACTTAACGAGTTGCATGTATACTAGACTTTTGATCTTGGATGTATTCGTGGATATAAATGAATAAAACATAAGTTGAATGATATTCTTAAAACACATAGGGGTGTTACAAAATTACGAAAAAAAAGGCTAGCTAGCAAAAATAAAATCAATTAGCTAAAATAAATATGTTTTCTAAATACTAAAAATTATGAATTTTATGTTTATATATATAGAAAACATATTTTGACTTCCTTCTTTGTCAAGAACACTTTATTTTAACCATTTAGTTTAAAGATTATTTTTGAAACACAAAGTCAATGCTCGAAATTGCCTTAAGACTGTACCAAAGAGTAAGAGTGAGGGTGGATTGGATCTGTCGAGCCGATGTCGTTGCCTTTTCTACGTGCTAACTTCTGTATAGATAGCTTGGTATTATTTGGTGCCATAATTCTAATATTTGTTCTAACTGGATTCGGCCCTTGAGGCTTGAGGCAAATTAACCGAGTACAGATGGTGAATGATGACGGTAATCCGATTCAAGTTTTGGGTTCTAGTGAATTCTTTTCATTTTCATGGCACCTTCATGATTACCCGCCAACTCTGTGTCAAAACCCTCCATAGTTACACCAAGCAACAGTCGTCTTGTCCCCAAAATATTCACGCACCTAAACATGCTCACCACCTATTCGACCATACTACTCACCCAAATGCTCTCTCCGTTAACCGTTCAATGCTTGATTCTTTGCACAAAAACCTGCCATTTCAAGCACATGGCATCTTCAAGCATCATCTCCAACTGGGTTTCATCAATTACATCGATGAAGTTACTGTTGCCCTTGCCGTCAAGGCTTGTCGTGGAGACATGGAACTCGGGCGCCAGATTCATGGCTTTGCGATTACTTCTGGGTTTGTTTCATATGTTACGGTTCCTAATTCGATAATGAATATTTATTGCAAAGATAAGCAGTTGGATAAGGCTCTGATTATCTTTGAGAAGCTGGATAACCCAGATATTGTTTCTTGGAATACTATACTTTCTGGGTTTCAGAAGATTGACGACGCGTTGAGATTTGCTCTGAGGATGAATTTGAATGGGATTGTTTTTGATGCAGTAACTTATACTACTGTTCTTGCTCTATGTTTGGACTATGAAGGGTTTCTTTTCGGATTGCAATTGCATTCTCTGATAATAAAATCCGGATTGGATTCCGAAGTTTTTGTTGGCAATGCTTTGGTAACAATGTACTCGAGATGGGGACGGTTGGTGGAAGCTAGGAGAGTGTTTGACGAAATGCCAAATAGAGATTTAGTTTCCTGGAATGCAATGCTATCGGGATATAGTCAGGAAGGAAATTATGGGTTAGAAGGAATTTTGGCATTTATTGAGATGATGAGAGAAGGGATGAGTCTTGATCATGTCTCATTTACTAGTGCAGTTTCAGCTTGCGGGCATGAGAGAAACTTAGAGCTTGGGCGACAGATTCATGGTTTGTGCATAAAAACAGGATATGGAGCTCATGTGTCAGTTGGTAATGTTCTGATCTCAACATATTCCAAGTGTCAGGAAATTGAAGATGCAAAATTAATTTTTGACAGAATGAAAGAACGGAATGTAGTGTCTTGGACAACAATGATATCTCTGAATGGAGAAGATGCTGTTGCTTTGTTTACTAAGATGAGATTAGATGGAGTATGTCCAAATGATGTGACTTTTGTTGGATTATTACATGCTATAACAACCCAGAACTTGGTAGAAGAGGGTCGAAAGATTCATGGGATTTGTATTAAGATTGGCTTTTTATCTGAATCAAATGTCTGCAATAGTCTCATTACTATGTATTCAAAATTTCAGACCATGCAAGACTCAATGAAGGTTTTCAAGGAGCTTGACTATAGAGAAGTTATTTCATGGAATGCTTTGATTTCCGGGTATGCTCAAAATGGATTATGTCAAGCAGCTTTAGAGACATTCTTTTATGCAATAATGGAGTCCAAGCCAAATCAATACACCTTTGGCAGTGTCTTGAATGCAATTGGTGATGCTGAGGATATATCTCTAAAACATGGCCAACGTTGCCATTCTTGTATAATAAAGCTTGGACTAAACACTGACCCAATTGTCTCTGGTGCTCTCCTTGACATGTATGCTAAACGTGGAAGCATTTGTGAGTCACAAAAAGTTTTCAGAGAGACTCCTCAAAAAAGCCCATTTGCTTGGACTGCAGTAATCTCTGCCCACGCGAGGCATGGAGACTATGAATCAGTGATGAACTGGTTTAAAGAGATGGAGAGAGAAGAGGTAAAACCTGATTCAATCACCTTTCTATCTGTTTTGACAGCTTGTGGTAGAAAGGGAACTATTGATATAGGCCTTCAGCTTTTCGATACAATGATAAAAGAGTATCGGATTGAACCATTCCCGGAGCATTACTCTTGCATGGTGGATATGTTAGGGCGTGCAGGACGACTAACGGAGGCAGAAGAGCTGATGGATCAGATTCCAGGAGGGCCAGGCATATCTGTGCTGCAAAGTTTACTGGGTTCTTGTAGGATTCATGGGAATGTGGAGATGGCAGAGAGGGTAGCTAATATTTTAATGGAGATGGAGCCTATGGGGTCAGGCTCATACGTGCTGATATCCAATTTGTATGCTGAGAAGGGAGAGTGGGAAAAGGTGGCAAAAGTTAGGAGAGGGATGAGAGAGAAGGGAGTGAAGAAGGAGGTGGGATTTAGCTGGGTGGATGTTGGTGACAGCAAAAGTAGTTTGTCACTCTATGGATTTTCATCAGGTGATATGTGTCACCCAGAGTCTGAGGATATATATAGAATGGCTGAATGTCTGGGATTAGAAATGAAATCTTTGAAGGAAAAGGAGGAAGAGGAAGAGGAAGAGGAAGAGGAAGAGTGGGAGAGAGCAGTCGGGACATAAGACTTCTGTAGCATGGAAAGCTTGGAGTCCCGCAGGTCTCCTGGGAGAGTTTTTACTTGCTGATATTCATAGGGATTTCGAAATTTCTCTCCTTAATTTTTGGGGTAAAGAAGTAAATTTCGTTTATTTATAAAGAAAGGAGGAAAACAACACAAAGAGTGTTATACAAAACTATGCTATTTCTCAAGCACATTAAAAAATATATATATATATGTATAACTAACGTTTTTTCATTAAGTTAAACTAAGTGAAGCATTAAGAGAATTATTTTTTATTTTTTAACTGTCTTACTGAAACATACATATACATATATTCTTTTAAAATTTCTATTTTTTTTTTATTTTTAATCTTATATATTCCTTCTATCTATTCCATCAATAATTTTTTTTTGCGAATATATCGAAATGGTTTTTCAGGATAATCCGAAGTTATTGATACAATTTTACTTCAAAAATCTTAATACAATTCTACCATTTTTCATAGTTTCGTATTGTCTAACCCTAATATCATCATAATATTTAGATCATAAGTAGGTTATGTTTAAGACAGATCTGAAATTATATTTAAAATAATTATAAAAATTATATTTAAAATAATTATTAAAAAAAATTGAGTTTATATGGAATTTCTATATATTTAAACAGTAAATTTTGAAGTTTTATCAAAATATAAGATGAGTGCATCAATGTTATTTACATGATAATACCAAAGCTTAGGAGTAAATTACCCCATAAAAATTTCTTAGTTGCAACATTGATTGTTTGAGTTTTATTAAATGAAAATTATTTGTCGGTGTTGAATTTATGCAATGTGTACTTTTTAGGGTTGATTGTTGAAGCTAATATTTTTATATATTCATTTAAAAGAATGGAATAAAATAATTTAAATTGAAATTAAAAAAATATATATATGATATACATTTTTATAATGGATAAAAAAATAAACAAGAAGAAGGTGGAGTAAGTCGAGCAATCGGAGCACTTAAAACCAAGTGGAGGAATAAGTAAAAAAAGCGTGAGCGGCAGGATTCGAACCTGCGCGGGCAGAGCCCACATGATTTCTAGTCATGCCCGATAACCACTCCGGCACGCCCACGGTTTTGAAACACTGATTTCTTTTTCTTTATAAAATAATGATTATCATGCTACAAAATTACGCCGCACCTCATTGCCTCTTATTTTCTTGCAGAAGTTACTAGTAATAAAATTTGTGCTAATGTAATGCTTGTACGACTGAATTTTGAGACAACTACAAAACGAATTTTTCTTCTGAATGAAAAAGAGTTCAACCACATTACCGTCTGAAGTTATTTAAATCGAGTCATGTAGCAGAAAACCACCAGAAACATGTAAAAATCTCGGACTAACAGGTGATAAATAAAAACCAAGGAAATTTTACAGCCCAATTCCCTTGCTTTTGCAACTCGAGGCACCCAGATCGTAGAATAGTTGATTACGTGATTCTATTAAATGAATTCGTGCTACTAGTCTGAGAATAAATCATCATTCCAAACCCAATGTGCTCATAACTTATAGCACGGCAGCTTGTGTTACCAGCATAAATTATAGGACAGTCAACACGTAACACACAATTTCACAAACATTACGGTAAGTAAGTGCTCCTAAACATCCATTTTCATAACCAAAAGAAAAAGCTCAATTCAAAACTAGAACTCAAGTAATAAAATTTCTCATGATCATACAAAACCCAGAGGAGAAAGAAGACATATTAAATTCGTTACAAGAAAGTTTGTTGGATCATTTTACTTTCACCAGTATTCCTTTCTCATATTGCAAATTAGATAAAATATAAAATTCTAATAAAGGTCAAATATTGAAATCCTTCTTCCTTTAGCAGGGCACAACAACTTCACCAGTCAAAGCCTCTAAAGGGAGCAACACCACAATCCCAGAGGCCCATCACACCGAGTACAAGTTCCATAACATTTTAGATCAAGAGCTTTTCAATAGCATCCTGTATTTCACAAAACATAAAAACACAAATTATGCTTTGAAAAGAAAACCACAAATCACAATCATTGTTAAACAATGGATAAACAAAAGTACACAGATCATGCATATTAGGAAAGAGGAAGTACCTTGAGTTGTTGTATTTGGCTCTTCAACTGGCTTCCCTCATTTGATGTCACAGAAGCAGCAATGACTGGTCTTGTGACTCCACATGCCCGACCAAGTGCTTGTTTAGAAGGGACAAATACATAGGGCACATTCTGCAAAATTTAATAGAACAGGTTATTAGTTATCACCATAAACTATTCAGGGTAATAGACCGAAAACAAAAAGAACAGAGCAGAGAACAAAATTGTTACACAATTAGCATGATTAGATGAGTAATATAGGGCAACAGATCCCAGTATTCGTGTTGTGATTAGCATTTTCCAAGGAGAACAAAATTGTTTTGTGTCCTTAAAATGAAAAAAGAACCACCGAGACAGGCCTGACATGTGATTCTGATAAACCACAAAGGCCACAACGGCCCACTATCAAACCCAAACGATATGCTGACTGAGTAAAAGAACATGTGCAGAAATCAGCAAGCAGAATATGCAAAAGAATAAGGAAAACATGCAGAAAATGGAGTCTAACCGTTAGCTGGAATCAGCCACAATCTTATCCTTAAGCTTATCTTTTATTTTTTATTTTCTTCCTAGTTTATTGGTAGTTTCAGTTGGAAATTTATGTATTTAAACATCCATTTGCAGCAATAAAATTCATCTGAAATTTGCAAACAATCTGTGGTTCTTTCTCACCGAAACGAGAAAAATTCTCATCAAAATCAATAGGCTTCTGATTGGGACCTATCAGATTCGAGGCTCAGAAAGAACATAGGCCAGATAGCCAATGGAATACCTACGGCTGCTCTCAAAAGTTAATCTAGGAAGCCTGTCAAGGGATGATGTCCACAAGGGAATGAAAGAAATGAATAATTAAAGAATGATAGCAGCTTAGCTCTAATTTAAAATCTTTTTCAGCTAAAAGCTTTGTATTCTAACCAAGTGAAACTCCTCTTAAGGAACTATATGCACAGATCTGCTTGCAGTCAATTTATTAACAGAATCATGGCTAAGCATAAAATACTATGGCATGATTCAGGCATAAACTAAAGTCTATATTCTGTACTTATATGGGTCCTGGTTAGTATAATTTAGAAAAACCCCTTTCAATGGATCCAACAAGTGCAAGCATGAGATTTGCAATTGAAATAAGCAAATACGCAAATATTCCAGGTTCCTTCACTCATAAAATCCTTGTCTGTCCCTCCTTTGCCCATGTACCTTAGCATGCATGATATTATTTAATCCTATAGGAACGCCATTCAAAAAATACTTGCGTCAACTAAGAGGCAATCATGTGTGTTATACACTCCATTTGACCCAAAGAAAATCAAAATGCTTATTTATGCTTTATCAAGTCAATGGACCATAAAGCACTAAATCAAGTAATCTAAATATCATGGTGAAAGATGAGATAAACCTAAATACTGCCAAAAGACACCAGTCACATTTCAGTAGAGGTTCTGATTATCTATCATGCAGTTTTCACATATAAACAGCATAAAAAATTTCCCAATAGTCAAGAGCATTTAGCATGGCATGTGAATGATACCCTCATTGTATAGTTACGAAATAGAGGCTGAGTACTATCCTCAAGTTACCTTAAAAAAAATAGATTATTAATTAATATTTCCCAATAAACAATTTTTTGTAGAAAAGACCTATTTCCCAATAAACAATAATCACATATATATTTTTGATTCAGTGTTGAATCATTATTTGCCCACACAATCCACTGTTCAATCAATCAAAGCAGATCATACTTGTTTTACAGGTACTTATAAAGCAATATACATCAAAGGCGAGGACAGTAGGGAAGTCACCTTGTCCTCTGCAAGCAGGGGAAGATGCAGGAGAATCTCTAGAGGCTCAGCATCCGCAGCCATCACAATAAACTCAGATATACCCCTGTTTAGGGTCTTGGTAGCTGGCCAGTACGCATACCACATTATAAATTGCTTAATGAAGAACACAGCCACAGACCTCAAAAAAAAGAGCACTTTCTAAATAGCATACCTTCGTTAGCGCCCTTCTTGAGTTGCTTGTAGTTGGCGGCTTGTTGAACAAGATCCAGGATCGTTATTGTTAACTGAGCATCTGCTAGTGGGTAGGCTTTTGGGTTCACAGCTTCTGCCTGCAAATTTCAAATCACAAAGTGATTAACTTGGTCCACTACAAAATTTACTCCATACGTCCACAATATTAGACGGAAAGAGAAGGAGAATATAGGAGGAGACAAGCAGAAGGAAAGCTACCATTTTCGCCGAAGCAATTGAGACTGGAAGGCTAGGGCTTTTCGACGATGAAAGGAGAGCTACCAAATGCTAGGGTTTAACGGGGCAACGCAAAAATCCTGATATACACGCAGAAATGACACAATTACAATTTTGACCCGCAAGTTATGGTGCTATTTACCTTTTTACCCATATATTTCTAAATGATTCTTTTTTCCATAAAAAAATTAAAAAATAAAGGTAGGTCGAATTTTGTTAAATCCATATGATTATCATAATTAATCAAAATTAACCATATTTGAAAATAATCTAATTTATTAAAACCAACATTAATTTAATTATAATAACTTTATTAATGTATTAATAAATTAAATTTTATATTTTATTAAATTAAGTATTAATATTAATAAAATAACAAGTTTTATATTTATATTAATAATTTTAAAATAAAATATAAAAATTTTAACTATTATATCATATTATCAAATTTTAACTATTTATTATTAGTTTATTATTAGTAGGTTACTTAATTGGGTTTAATTGGTTTATACAACTTTAATATTTGTACAATTTTATTATTTGCTACTTCAATATTTTTAAATATTAATTTTATGTTAATCTAATATAGGTATAATATCAAATTAAAATATTAAAATATTACTTTTATCAAATTTTAAATTTTTTAAAGAAAATTTACTATAAAATTAAAAATTTTAAATCTCTGATATTTATCTCCTTCAATTTAATTTATTAATATAAGCAAGTCTGGTCAACTTCTACAATTGATTTTTAAGAGTACGATTATATCAGGAAAAAATACAGTATATTCTCAAAATTAAAACTTTTTTTTTCAAGTAAAATCAAAAGTCAAAAGTTTGACCGACGTACCCTACCATATACACGTGGCCCAATGAGATTTAAAAGACCACGTAGCGGGTGAAAATTCAGCAAGAGGGGGGGAAGGTACAGAAATGGTTACCGCCTTAATTCTAGACCTCTGTGCTCTCTCATTTTCAAGTTTACAGGAAACAGAGAGTTGCAGAGTAGAAGAAACATTACGGCATTAGCTCGAGAATCATTTAATAGATTGAGGTGGATGATGGAGTCCTTGCGCTCTATTCGGATCAGAGATTCTCTTTTGCAGATCATCACTCTCGGTTCTTTAATTTTCCCTTCTCTTCCCTTCTCTCTCTACCTCCATTGGTTTTAATTGCGTAACTATTATATATATATATATGTGTTTATTTGCAAAGGATCAGTTCAGTGCGTGTCTTATCTGTGAACTCAACTTTTATTTGAAAGTACTCAGTCATTTCCTTAATCCATTTTGCTAGAAGTGCTTAATAATCGCCTTAGTCGGATTTTAATGGCCCTCTCTGTATGACCGAAGTCGATTTTTAGAGCGATATTCTAATGCCTACTTGTGATTTAGTCTCAATTCTACAGTTTCCTTCTAGGTTTGTTTCGTTATCTTAGTGTTCTTATCGTAGAACTTTTCTTTTTCTCTTGCGGGTAAATTTTTTCCAGGAATAACAGTTTCCTCAGCATTAATGATGTGGAAAGCACTGATGTGCATAACTGGAAGTGAGTCGCCTGTCGTCGTCGTTCTCTCTGGAAGCATGGAACCTGGCTTTAAGCGAGTGAGTCCTCCATGCTATAAATTGGATGTTTACTGTTGTGTAGATGTGAGACATGTAAAAAAACTCAAAATCAGCATATTAAATTTTATCTATAGTAGTAAATACTTGATAACTAATTAAATTATTGAACACGAAATCAGATTTAGATTTGGGTTCAAACTCCAGTCACCTCTTTCTTTCTCTGGTCGATTACCCATTTTTTTCAGCATATGATTGTGCTCATTGAGTTTTGTACATTTAGATGTTAATTTATGTTAATCAAAGTTGGAATCATTTGTTGAGTTAACTTGTATTATAGCCTCTAATTTGATTGTTCTAATTCTTTCCAAAAGAACATGTTAAACCATATATAGTCAGCATGAAATTAACATCTAGCTAAGCATAAAAGCAGAGATAGATAATGAAGTTTCATTTTAATACTATATTAAATTTTAACCTAAACTTATATAATGATTACTAAATTATGAACATATAATTCATTATAGATTTTCATGCTTGGTTAATACATACTAGCGTCCTTAATAAAAAGTGAAATGTTTTTGCAATAGAAATTTAAAATTTTATTTCTCAACAGATACACATATACAGACGTACGTACAGATATATATATATATATATATAGAGACACTTTATGTCCTTGTTTTGTTTGAGTCCTGTAATGACTTGATGTTAAATATAAAATCACTTGAATGCATTTTTTCCATTAAATCTACTAACACAACCTTTCGATCATCTTGAAGGGGGATATTTTGTTTCTGAACATGAACAAGGATCCTATTCGTGCTGGGGAAATAGTCGTGTATAACGTTGATGTATGTTATTTCCTTTGCCCATTGATCCATCGGATTCTTCCTGCACTTCTAAACCAAATAAAACGTGGTCATAATTTAACTTGCTAATTAGTTTTGTTCTTCTACATTTTTAGGGCCGTGATGTTCCCATTGTTCATCGGGTGATTAAGGTAAACTCCATATATTAGGATATTACATATTGTATACATATATGGAGATAGTAGTTACTGAGTTCTTCTTCTTGTTTACATGTGTGGCATAATAGATGAAAGGTACAAAATTTTCACAGTTCAAAATTTATGTTCTTGAGCTGTAAAGAATGAAAATCCAGAAAGAGAATATTATTTTTTTTTTACTGTGGTATTTGATGGCTTTGTTGTAATGAAAATAAATGACTTGATTAAAAAAATTTAGGCTATGATCTGAATACTCTCCTTTAAATTTCTGAATGTAATAAATTACACATTGCATATTGCACTTGCAGCTTTGTTATACCTGATTAATTGTATTTCAGTTGACTTTATTCAGTGTTAATAAGAATCAAAAACATTTATGTTTTAGGTCCATGAGGCAAAAGATACCGGAGAAGTTGACATTCTCACAAAAGGTAGCTCATTTTTTTTTTTTTCACATTAAGATATTTAACTGTCATTTTTTATATTAATAATTTTTTTATTACTTATGAATAATACGAATTTTATAATAATTTATTTAAAAATTATAAATTTAAATCTTATTAAAAATATAAACTTATCACTTTGTAATTGTAATTTAAATTGGTGATAATTTACAAATTCAATTTTTCAATTGAATTAAAATTTAACCTATTTTTTTAATTGTGAAAAAAAAAACACTTTTTTCTTAGTTGACAATTTCGAAATGGGCTCCTTTATGCCTGATATAATTGCATATCTAATTTGTATCTAAATGCAATCATTTAGATTTATATATATGTATAATATTCGAAGAATTCATTTTTTTTATAATTCTTTAAAAGAAGAATGCGAGATGGGTTTCTTAAGTTTAAAGTAACAAAAAATACTCGAATCTTATTACTCATATTTTGACATTCGGTATACAGGTATGAATTCTATTGTCATTTTTCAAAGTGAAATTTGAGGCTACTTATATAAAAAATCAAATTACAAACGGATTCCTGCTTTAATTTATATATCAATACTCTTATAGTATTTATCTTAATGTCATTAGTGCTTATTTCGTTCAGGGGACGCCAATAAAGACGATGACATATCTTTATATGCCCACGGTCAGTTTTGGTTACAGCGGCAACACATCTTGGGGAGAGCTGTTGGGTAATTTCTGATACTTTTTACTTCTTTTAGGGTATAAATAATAAGTAAGTTGCTTTAAATTTTTAGAACAATTAATTTATTTAATACAATATTAGTAATAGGCTAAAGTTTGAATGAGACATCAATTTTTGCTACCTACAAATAATAAATTTAGTAATTTTTTATAGTTCAAATCTACAAAACAATTAAATCAGTAAATTATTCTAAAAAATTCGATACTGATAACAAATTTTACCCATTTTGTGTTTGCATTATCTAAATTACATGCATATGATCATATTCCAGAATCAATGTATTGCAATTAGTGGGATTGAGATTTCCTCCAACGTTTCTGTTATTTTACCTCTGCAGGTTCTTACCTTACATTGGTTGGCTGACAATTATAATGACTGAGAAGCCAATAATCAAGGTAGTTTTGTGGAACCCAAACGGGTGCGTTGTGTTGTGAAAACTTAAACTGATAAATTCAAATCTTAATTAAATTAGAAAATAGAATTCCAATATTTGGTAAATAAGGTTAATTTTCAAAACAGATAACTAAATTTCATTGGCACCTTTCGTCGTCCGAAAAATAAACTTAATATACACATATTTATACACATACTTTCTCAGAAAACAAGCATAGAAGAGAATCCCCCCTCCTATGTATGCATATACGCTTCCTTCTGACTATCACGAAACATGTACCTAACGTTTTGTTTTTCTTCTTATTTTGTTTCTTCTGGCCGCAGTACATACTAATAACTGCACTGGGATTGCTGGTCATAACATCAAAGAACTGATTAGCAACCAAATTTCTTTACCCTCTTTCCTGGACAGAAGCACTAAGAAATGGTGGAAACATTGTCAGACACCATCTTGTCTTGGTTTTCTTTTCTTCTAAAGACAAAAAAAAATGTTTGGAGCATGTTAATTATCCTTTGTTGCAAGTACAAGCTGTCTAACCTTGTTATTAATTAAAAAAGATAATTTCTCAGTCAAGAAATTGATGGTGTTGTTGTGTCTCATAAGATTCTCAAAAAGAAAAAAAACATATTTCTGCCTAATTATTTACACTAGCGATTGCCCATAACATTTACTTCTTTAGTAAGATTGAGTTCGATCTGAATTATAATTTTGTGAAATAAAAAATAAAATACACTAAAATTTTAAATGTAAACAATATTTTAATTATAAGTCAACAGTAACAAAGATTAAAATGCCTACCGTGCAAACCGTTGGCAAGACCCGCAATTTTCAACCTTGTAAAGCTAACTAAACAATCTTTCATAATAGGCAAGAGCCACTGTCACTGAGATCACTCCAAAGTATTCAACACACACGGCATGATTAGTGCTTGGCTTGGTTAGTATCAATGGATCTCGTCCCAGATCCATAACCTAGACGAAGAATCACAAATCATTCCGAAACCTTAGAAATCATCCAAAATGATTACAAGAATTTCCAAACTGCAGAGTGTCATTCACTGGTTTTCCGCACTAATAATGTTGTGAAAACTAGGTCAGTCTGATCCCAGGTTTGTGATCAAGCTTAAGATTGTCCCTCACATGTAACAAACAAGAGCATACATATCCTTAGTAATTAATACTGCATAGAGTTTGCTGGATACATCCTATTTTTCATCCAAAGAAAGAACAAACATAAACTCTGGAGTGTGCTATATGTATATAGGCCCTATACCTATCCGACGCAAATTTGCAAGGTATATCCGTGTCATAAACTTCAGGGTGCTCCATATATCAGAAATATCCTTAATGTTCTACTGTACTAGTTGCCTCAGGCAAACAATCTGCAAAAGACGAGTAGAAATTGCCCTCAACACAAGTTCTAAACAATCTTACCAGGAGGAAAGATAATGTAAAATAGCCCTGATAAACTGACAGTTCTGGATTAGTGTTCCCTTGTTTTAGGTAAAACACTTGGCCGTCTGGATATATGAAGACTTAATGGAAGTGCTGCAAACATTGAACTCAGTAATTCTTCATAGTAGTGCTATCCACATAGTCAAGTGAGCGAGGAGATAAACGTCCAAACAGTGTACAGAAGCTGTGTTAGTGTTACCATCAAGCAAATTTGGTTTACTCAGTTATTTGATCCTAAGACTGTTTGTGAAGAAATAAACTTTGTTTGTGAAATCTACTTGATTCTACTCGGAACAAGTATGAGGTGGTAGATATTCCTCATAATACTCATAAACAATTTTTATCATTTTGCAAGGAATCTCCGACTTCTCAGATTATAATGTGTGAATTTCTAAATGAATTCCACAAACAAAGTTTATTTTTTCCAGAAACACCCTAAAGGTTACATGAGTTTGACCGGATCAAAACCAAGTAGCATTACTTGAGTTCTTTATATGAAGCTTCACAATCTATCTTTTCTTCTTCTCTTCCTAGAGATCACCTTTAGATGCAGACCTCCAAAAGCAAGAAGGTGAAAATTAGTAAACTCTGTCTATTTCAACAGCTGGTAGAGCAATGAACATCAACCCAATGGAACTAAGACTGGAAACTCAACACCATAATCAAATGCTAAAATGATAAACAAGCAATGATCATCAACCCATGGAACCCACAGGTTTAGATGCATAACACCATAACCAAATGCCAAAAAGACACACGAGCGTGCAAAAACAGCTTAGTTATGGCTTTGAACAGGATAGAATCATCAAAACTGATACATATATATATGTATGCTTTATAGAATATCACTGAAACTTATTAAGTATTACTTACTAATTTAGTCTGAATGAAAATAGAATCATACATAATTTTTTGTTTCCAATTCAACTACTAAAAATTATAATCAAATATAGAAGATAAAAAGGCAAACTAATTGGACCTGGTGCAAGGCCTCAAGAAGCAGCTGCGGCCTTAAACTGCCGCAACATATCGCAATGTGGCGTCTCACGAATAAAACCCCACTGTTGTCGCTGCAACTCAAACCGACAATTCTGAGTAAGAACAGAGAAATAATCATTTTCAACACGCTCCTCAATCCTTGCGCGATCCAGAGTATTCGGAGGGTAATCCTGCTCAAATTTAGCAGACTTCACATAATAATTGACACCCTTCTGTGTAGTTATCTTGTACTCGTAGGGATACGACCTTGATAGAGAATAGATGGGCTCGGAAGAGGGAAGGAAGTTTAAGAGTAATATCAGCAGCACAGGCAGCAATTGAATCAGCGAACGGAGGTTGAAGCCATGAGCAGACCCATGGTCGCCAGTCCTATGTCCCATTCCAGTCCCAAAATTGAAGGTACGGAATTGGGTAGTCGCCGGTGGCATTCCTCCGAAAAAGAAGTTCCTGAATATCTCATCGGCGTCAAACTCGGCTTCGTAATAACCGTTGAATCCATTCCTTGTGGCTGGGCGTCTCTCGTAGACGGGCTCATCGGAGCCGCTAATGTCGTACTTCTTTCTGCTTTCCTCGTTGCTCAGGCACTGAAAAGCCTTGGACACTGACTTGAACGCCTCTTCGGCGCCCGGGGCATTGTTCTTGTCGGGATGGACCTTCAACGACAGCTTGCGATAAGCTTTCCTCACGTCTTCCACAGAACAACTCTTCTCCAGTCCCAAAATCTCGTAATAATCTTTCTTCTTCTTAATCTGCCTCACGATCGCGATCTGCTCCTCAGTGTATGACGCCGTAGATGACGACGGCGTCGAAGCTGATGAACCAACCGATGAAGAACCTCTTTTGCGAAGCGAAGGGTGATCGGATGGCTTAGATTCAGGAGACCCCGATGCTTCCTTCCCTGAATCAGATGGATTCTGCGCCGCTTGATCCTCGGAATCCTTTTCCAGAGCCGACAAGAGATCGTCGACGGGGAGATGAGGGTCCAATCGCTGAGCTTTTATGAAGAATTTAAGGGCGCGAGCTCGATCTCCTGCTTCCATGGCTTCTTTCCCGATTTTCAAGCATTTCAATGCATCGTCCTTGTTCCCGTCCATATTTAAGCAATACCCAGAAAGAAGAAGACGAATAATCGGGAGAGAGCATAGAGCAAGAGAACTTATGGAGGAGCGACAAAGGACAATTGGGTACTCTTAATATATGTTCATCATCGATCCCTATTCGGATAGATACAAAGAAATAAATGAAAAATATCAACAACAAGATAAATAAAAGAAAGGAAAGAAAAATCAATAGAAAAAAGGATTTTTTTTTTTTTTTGACGAATTGAACTTACAGAAATTCGATCGGGATAGACGATAGTGCGGATCGGACTCGGGTTATTGGAGATTTAAGGCAGTCTTAGGGTTTCAAGGTTTGGAGTCCGGGAGAGGGTTTGGTTTGGGTATTTTGCAGAAAAGGGAAGAGAGGAATATCAGTGGAATTTTCCTCCTCCCATATTTCGCTTTTTGCAGACAACAAAGCCGAGTGATATCCTTAGGCCGTGTTTGGGTGCATACAAAAAATCATTCTTCATATCTTTTGACCCATTAATTATATCATAAAACGATTCGTTTGGTCAAAACAGTATACATGAAAAAGAAAAAAATAAATATCTAGGGATGATATAATTTTGAAGAAGAAAATATGATAACAATATAATATAAATATATAAAAAAATAAAATATAAGTAAAAATTAAATAAATAAAAGAAGTCTTTCTTCGAATTCTACATATCATAAAATTTCTTACGAGGATACATAAGGTCATAAGTAAAATTAAAAATTAATTATAAATTAATTAAGAGCTTATGGAAAATACAGTTGGATAAAAAATTATTTAATGAATATATTTATATATCATAATTTTTCATTTAAATTATTTTTTGGTCAGACCCAAAACCCATTAAATCCAGGCCCATTGGGCCCAACTTTCTAGCCTAAAACTTTACCTGAAACAGCACCTATTCCTCTTTCGTCGGGGTTTTAAACAGTAAATCTCTCCAAGGTTGAAGTCATTTATGTGCTTGGGGGAAACATGGAGGCAAAAAGTCTACTTCCCCAGTCTGATTTTTCAATGTACGCAGAAGAGGAGCTCATAAATGGAGGTCTAAAGGCAATTACAGATGGTATTTTTCATTTGCCTTCAACTGAAGATGTAGAATGATCCCTCAATAAGTTTCCTCCACAGACAACGAAAATGGCTAGGGAGAAGCGTGTAAGCATATCCCTCTTTTTTTTTATAATTTTATTTGATGTCTATTTTCTTCTTCTTTTTCTTCTTTCTTGGAGGAAATGTAAGGTTGGGTTTTGGTCTTTTGGTTGTAAGATTGGTCTGCTTGAATATGTTCCTCACTTCCATGCCTATGGTGATGCTTCTTGTTTCTGGAACCTCTTTCTTTTTCCCGGAACAAGACAATTTCTAGTGCTGATTGGCTCGTTACCACTTTTGGTTCCACTCGACTTTTTCTTTTCTTTCCTAGTTCCATCTGCTTGGAAATTTTAAAGGTCTATTCTACAAGGCAATCATTGTGGGAATGGTCAAGAGGCCAAGTTTTAGAAATTACTTCACAGTAGCTTCTAGCATTGTACCAAGAAACAGATAAATGAAATATAAACGACACATGCTACACATAGGAGAAAGAGATTTGCTGATAAGATTGCATTGCAATCAAGATGGGAGATTTCATTTGTTACAAGAAACTAGTGGATTTCTTATATCTGTTGTGAAAATCTAAATGTTTGTAATGTTGCTTATTAGCTTCCAAATCCACCTCCTACTAAATGAGAGACCGTGCCAGAAAAATAGGTAATTTACTCGCGTTCTGCTACCTATATGAGCAACTTCTGTATTTGATGCTTTTGTTTTTTCAGGAAGTCTAGCGGAAATTTCGTTTGAACCCCATCTGCTTCGTGATATCATCTCATCTTAAATATTTAACTGGTATAAAGAAGTATAAGAAGGAAAATGTTGTCTGGGATGAGCAAACTAGTGAATGGAAATGTCAATATGGTTATGATCACGTTAATGATGATAAGGATGTACCCATTGTTGAGGCCAAGGCAACATATGGTTTGTAATTTCAGAAGCCCTTTTAGCCTTACAAAAGTATCCATTTATTACAGATACACCTTTTGCCATTTCTGTCTTCAACTGTATTTTAATGATTTTGAAAGAAATGGTACCACCACATGCTGTAACCTGAAATATTCATTTTGTAGGCAATTTGTATATGGGCTGCACCCTTGGTGCCTTGTGAATGACATTCTTCTGAAAAAGCTATGAACTGAAAATCGTTTCACTAGTTTCTTTTATTTTCAAATTGTATCGTGGGTCACACTTCATTTTGTGCAGAACCAGAGGCAGAAACTTTTGTTATGAGACCAGCAGATAGGAAGAAAGAGGTGGAAAAGCAATAGAAGAATCAGTTGCAGAACTTGAAAGCAGCAGCAAAATTGGTGTTTTGCCAAGGTTTTGTTGCTCCTTTGCTCATAAGAGTCTTTATTCTTTTTGCACATAGTTGCAAACTTTCTTCTGCTTCAGGCACGGGGGAGTTCGTCCCTCTGCAATATATGTTAAGTTTAGCTTAACCAATCGTTTTCATAAAAAAAAAATGCATGAGTAGACCAACTAATTTGAATTCTCTTGATTTCAGCCTTGTGTCTACCCTTTTTGGTGCCTCCCTTCCTATTAATTGTTGATATGGCTTCAGCTGAAGAGTCTGACCGTTGTGCAATGTGGACTGTGCTTCTAGATGGTATTGAATGTCGGTGACATGCTACTGTTATAGGTTTAAACCCAGAGTTACTGCTATATTAATTGAGGGTTTACTGATGAGGTTTCATAGTCTATCTTTCTTCCTGGTCCTCGTCTTCCTTTGTGTTGTCACTAATTCATTGCCTATCCAAGAAAATTACGATTGATGAACTGTAGAATATAGCAGGTTTAGTTGCTGCAGCAACTCTAAATGGTAGAAAATTTGACAAGAAGTTGGCAGGGGTAAAAAGCCTTCTAAAAAGCAAGGAAAAGTACCCCAAGGTTTGTATACCACAAGAAGAAATATGCAAATGTTCTGATGCAGTCATTCCTAATTCTTGATCTTTTGGTCCTTTTCTTTCCATTCAATCCGACCAGTTACAAGGGCTCCAGGATAAGCTCCAAAGAAAACAAGCAGACAGATTAAGTTCTGAACAAGCTAATTTCTAAAAACTCCCTTGAGTTGCTTAATTTCACAAAGAGACACATGCGCCTTGGTGTGGTGCTATCTGATGGTTGATGAAACTCACCCAAATTTCTTAGTTTTGAATGAAAATTGATTCTGGTTTGCAGAGCCGACAAAATGAGAATACGATTAGATCATATCACTACAAACGTGCGGTACACAATCTTTTAGGATGAGTATCGTCACCATTCGTTTTCCAGGGTCAATCCATCACTACAGAAATATCGATTTTATCTGAATCTTGTGGCAACAATTGCAGGTCTTCGCTAAGAGAATATTTGTGGATGAAGACAAGAAGGAAATGGATAGAAGTTGACCCATTTATCCAAAATAAAGGATGTAACAGCTATAGTTTTGGGCTGCAGGCTGAATGGAAACTATGCAACAGAAGATTTTATATCTTTGTCTTGTCTAAGTTCCTTTTTTTAATTTACTATATGCGAAATCTGGTATAGAATTGACCTAATTGATGATCTAAATAAATTGAGAGAAATTTTTTAAAAATTTCATTGCAGTTACATGATGTGTCTAATATCATTCTGCTGTTTCAAGTATAGCAATATATTTTACATTCTCTGTTCATGTTAAATTAATTTTTTCATTTAAAAAGTTCTGGTAAATTTACTTTCTGAAACCTGTATAGAGTTTATTAATGTCAAAGTTTTATATTTTTTTTTTTAAAAAAAATGAAACTAAAAAAAGTACATTAAAATTTTACTTATCCAATTTTCTGATTTTCTCTCTGTTTTATGCATGATAGAAGCAATGACATTTTTCAATTTCTCCACATCAGTTTAGTCATATAACATCTTATTTATTTATAAAAATAAACTAATGAATAAAATAAACCTGACAAGTATTAACTTTTTCTTCAACATGCCAAATATGGCAGAGGAAATTTCTTTGCTAGCATTCTAAATGCTGCCAACAGTTTCTGGCTGCTCTACTGAGTACTGTGTGTATAAGGCATAAATATACATATTTTAATATTATTTCATCCAGAAAGGACCCATTTTTTATTAGGTTTTCTTCATTTTAGGGTTGAAAAATATAAAGGGCTCTCCTTGATTATCCAAGTCCTTTGTCTTTGTAACTTTCTCCTTCCACGAAAAGGCACCTCTTGGAAAATCTAAGCAGAGGCGGAGTGTTGAAGAGCTTACCGACCCCCTTCCTTTCTCCTCTCTCCTTCTCTGCGGAGAGGGAGAAAGTGAAGGCGACGAAGAAAAGAGAATACTTCTTATTCATCATCATCTTCTTCAGAGCATCTGGTACTCTCCGCCCACTCTCTGCCGCCCTTTATTCTCACTCGCTACACTTGTAAACATACTTGCTCTTATTCTTCAAAAGATTCGTTTTTTAGCCCTTAGGTCAATTCCCATTGGGCGAAATTTCTTTTCTGGTTTTCTGTTTCTTTAAAACCAGTGTTTTAGCTGGTCAATTTTTCTGGGTTATTTGAACAACGAGGAGAAAAAAGCTTTTTTAAGAAATGGGTGGACAAGGCTTGCAACTCGCTCATCGTCGAAACCGAGATGTTGTATTTTCTAGTTCTGGAATTAAGCTTCAATGGAGTATTCAAGAGGGTGATAATTTTAGGTCATGTGGCCTATTTGCGAGTGTTGGTCAAGCTGGTATGGGATTGGGGATTTCACCAAATCCTCCCAGTTCATTAGAGAGTAATGCCAAGCTTCCTTACACTAGCTTAAACTCAACATTTGTGTCAATGCCGGAACCGGGTTTTCTAGCTGATAAGAGCTCAAGGATGGTGTTTGAGGAAGCTATGGAGGTCGGTAATCGAGAATTTTTTATGAAGAAGAACAAGAAAAAGGGTGGGTTTAAATTGAAAATCAAAATTGGGAATCCATCACTAAGGAGGTTGGCTAGTGGGGCAATTGCTGGGGCTGTGTCTCGGACCATTGTGGCTCCATTAGAAACTATAAAGACTCATTTGATGGTGGGAAGCTGTGGGCACTCAACAAGTGAGGTATTTGAGAATATTATGAAAAATGAAGGGTGGAAAGGCTTGTTTAGAGGTAATTTGGTTAATGTCATTCGCGTTGCGCCAAGCAAGGCTATCGAGGTAGAGTTGTTGAGCAACCTATATATGATTTTTATTTGGATTTTGATTTGATATAATTCGGTATGTTTGAATCCATGTTGTTCTGATAATTATTTGATTATATCTACCATTGGGTATTCACGTTGACTAGAAAGCTATTGCACACTCTAGTTTTGTGTTTCATCCTTGCTTGTAAGTCTTGTGGCTTGTGGTCATGAGACTTCTGGATTATCAGCGTTATAGCTTGAGAAAGTTGATGTCTTGGAATTAAGCTTTTTGCCATCAGTATGATCAAAAGCTTTCTTTCTACTGCCTTATTTTATGTTAGTCAGAAAATGCTCTAGTATCCATGACAAGAAAACGATTGATTCATCTTTCATTTTGGTATGCGGATCTAGGCACTTAAACCTTTGATTTATGTCATGTTAACAACAAAAGTTAATAGAAGACTTTGCATTGAACAGGGTTAAGGTTCTTTGCCAAAAATCCAATTGGAAGTATCATAAGTTTCATTTTTTTTGTTTTTGCATCATAAACATTGTGTTAATCTTATTTGATACTGGTTCATTAACCGCATATACAATTTTTATCTTCCTACAGTTATTTACTTATGAAACAGTTAAGAAACACTTGACACCAGAACCTGGACAACAACCTATAGTCCCAATTCCAGCATCATCAATTGCAGGTGCTGTCGCTGGATTTAGCTCTACATTATGCACATATCCTCTTGAGTTACTCAAGACCCGACTGACTGTCCAGGTAAAACTCATCAGAAAAGGATTGTGGTGAAGTAATTACACCCTAGTCCTTGTTATTTCCTTTTTGATAATCCCACACAGATAGTAACTCTACTAATTTCATCTAAGCTGGTTGCAGAGAGGACTATACAAAAATCTTGTTGATGCATTCCTTAAAATTGTTCGGGAGGAGGGACCTGCAGAACTCTATAGAGGTCTTACTCCTAGTCTAATCGGAGTCATCCCATACTGTGCTGCAAACTATTTTGCGTATGACACATTGCGCAAGGCTTATAAAAAGGCTTTCAAGAAAGATGAAATCGGGAATATCATGACCCTTTTGATTGGGTCAGCGGCAGGTGCTATCTCGAGCAGTGCCACTTACCCGCTTGAGGTAGCTAGGAAGCAGATGCAGGCTGGAGCTCTCAGTGGAAGACAATATCAGAACATGCTTCATGCCCTTGTAACCATTTCTGAGAAGGAAGGGCTAGAAGGTCTATTTAGAGGATTGGGGCCAAGCTGCGTGAAAATAATCCCTGCAGCCGGGATATCTTTCATGTGCTATGAGGCGTGCAAGAGGATACTGATTGAGAAAGAAGAAGATTTATGATTCTCACAGAAGCAAATGGGCAGCTTTTGAATACCATAGGGTTTAACTAAAGGTGGAAAGGTGAAGTACGATTCATGGTTTTCTTCTTGCCATTTTATTTGTTTAGGATTTAGCTCAGCAACTTTGTTAGGATACAGGCTTTTTTTGGAGGTAAAAATTTTTAAATAGCCTTAAAAGGAAAAGTTTTGGAAAATGTTATGATATTTCTTAACGATGATTTTGCTCTTGGCAATTCTCTGTGACCTCCTAGGATTTGGAGGTTATCATGTCTCATTACATCCTATTAACATTCCATTATATATCACTGTAATTTTCACTGTTATCATGGATTTAAATACCATATCAATTGTACATAATCAATAAGAAAAAGTGAAACATTGGGCATCCAATCCTGCAATCACATTTTAATCTCTCTTCAAGACATGTTTAGGAAAATTCTAGTATCAGCATCATATTGTCAGAGTTAGTTATTTGTTTATTTGGATTACTAAAATTAGCAGAACATCAATTATAATTAGATTAATTTATATATTATCACCAGCTATAAAAGCTTTATTTTGCAATTGTTCTATTTCAATTAAAGGTTTCTTTCTCTACAAATTTTCTGCAGAATTCTTGTTCTTTGTTTTCTTTCTCTATTTTTCTTTTTCTTTCTTCAAATCCTCTTCTTCTCTATATTTCCTTCTGCCCTAGATCCCGGCACACACTTCTATTGATCTTTTTCTATTTAAAACAACTCAATAATTTCATGTAATAATCCTTAGCATTAGGTAATTACCTAATTACTACAAAATACTCGTGGCTCCTACACAAATTTTTAGTTAAAATATGATAAAATTACAGCAAAAAAAATGCGCCATTAGCACAGCATGGCAGCCAGAAACACCCCTTTTCCCCCATGTCGGTTCTAGTAGCTCAAAAGTAAAATGTTACCCAACATCAATAGAAATGCAAAAGAAAATTAAATATAGTCATTTACCCACAAAAACAAAAAGAGTAAATCAAATCATCCTCCAGCTACTAATGCAATTTAAGAACTTGAATAATGAAAACAGAAAGCAAAATACTATTTGGCTAACAAAACTGAATTCTAATAGCAGCTGTCATTTTGGTATCCCTGCTCCTAAGATAAAATTTCTGCAAGCTACCATCTAAGATAATAATAACTGGGACACTTGTAAGTTATAATGAAAAGATGATGGACTGATAACACGTGCTTTTACTGATTCCAGGACTAAGAACAAGGCAACTAAACACTAAGAAGCAACATTCCTTCAACTTTGCTCTTCATCTCCAACTTCCTTCTCCTCTGCAGCAGCAGCCATCAATTCATCAAAGTTTTCAGTCTTCCCAAGCAATATCTCAATCTGATACAGAAAATGCCCAACAAACGATATCAGCTTTGTTAAGGTTCATATGAAAAGCAAAACTCTGTTACAGACTTGCAGCAATCAATAGCAGCATAATAGGATCTGTGGTTCAATTCAGATGGAAACTAAGGCTGCATTTTCTTTCAGTACATAGAAACGTTTTTCTAATTTTCATATCCTATGTTAATATATGCTCATTTTCACAAGTGGTGGCTGAGAACGAAAATTTTACTTTCTAATGTATTCTTAAAAAAAATTTTGATTTATAATTAGGTACCATATATTCAAACAACAATGGATATACTGCTACGTACAAAAAGATACATGTATTAACAATAAAACAGTATAAACTATTTTCATGACTCAACCAAAGCCTAAGTCTCCACTTTTACTTTTTCATAGAAATGTGCACTTATACCCAAAAGAAGTGTTCTAATTGAAAATGATAACAATAATCATAAAAGTGAAAAAATAGGATAAGTTTGAAAACAATACAAAACTACTTTGTAGTGCTTTAGAACAGTAAGCTAGTAGTTAAGCATATCCAAAATACCTAACATATAAACACATACATGCATACATAGTACATGCATATCTACAAGTGCGTGCAGCTGACACATACATTATATGTATTCGTATGTATATATATATATATATATGAATACATATGTGAGCATAGAAAACAAAAACTAGAGATGTTTTTATACATGGACAGCCTAAATTCCCCTGATATAATTAAAATGTCAAGTTCTCTAATAACATAAACTAAGAACCTTAAAATAAGTTCGGTGGGAATAATTAGCAAGAAAAATGACCGCTTTGTTCAAAGTGAATATAGCATTCAACGACCTATTCCAAGTTTCCTCAGATAAAAAATCACCTGCATCTTATGTATATTTTTATCAAGCCATGTGAATGATATAACATGAACCTAAGCACGCTGGGCAATCTTCCCATTTATTATATATCTCTTATAACTATCCTAATGAGTGTTGCTTCACCTGCATCTTATGTATATTTTTATCAAGCCATGTGAATGATATAACATGAACCTAAGCATGCTGGGCAGTCTTCCCATTTATTATATATCTCTTATAACTATCCTAATGAGTGTTGCTAAGAGATCGGAAACAATTCAGTGTAGATTCCTTTGGAGCAAATCTTATGAGAGAAGAAAATATCATTTGGTGGCATCAGAAGATGTCAGAAGACCACTCCATCAAGGTGGTTTAGGTTTGAGATCTGGTGTACAGATAAACCAGGCGCTACAAGGCAAGTGGATTCGGTGGTTCATGAAAGAAAATGACATTCTATGGAGAAGGGTGGTAGAGACGAAGTTTGCAACCGTGGATAGAGGATGGTATTCAAGTGTTTTGACAAGACCACATGAGAAAGGGGTGTGGAAAAAAATAAGCATGGAAGAGGATAAAGTTCAGTAATGCATCAGGTGGAAAGTCGGCAATGAGATGAGAACAAGTTTTTGGAAGGATTCTTGGCTTGGGGGAAGGGCGTGCTCAAAGATAGGTTCCCCCAAATTTTTGCGATTGCACGGCACAAACACATCTCTGTCCATGAGGCATTCAGAGATACTGGGAGTCAAAAAGGAGTGGCAAGTGAAAGTAATGAGAAATCCCAATGACTCGAAAACAAATGAATATGAAACTCTCCTGAGTTCACTATCATCTACATCTTCGAATGGGAGTGATGACCAACTGGTTTGGAGGCTCAACGCTGCAAGGGCATTAACGGTTAGGTCTTTCTAGAATTACTTAGCCAAGAATGACCCTAAAGGGACCAAGTTTCCTTTGAATACTCCTCATAAAGTTGCTTTCTTGATTGGGAAGCAGGGCGGCAGAGGAAACTTGTAATCAGATTTTGCTTGAGTGTCCACTTGCGTACAATCTACTGACCATGGCACATGGGTTTCTAGTGATTAGTCGGGTAATGAATGACAGGGTAAGGAATGAAATTTGGGTCTGGAAGGGTATTAGTGGCAGGAAAAAAATATGTGAGCCTCATTCCTGTTGCTATACTTTGGATAGTTTTGGAAAGAAAGAAACAGGAGAATTTTGGAAGAGGATCTATATAGGATTAGAGATAGGTGATTCCAGACCCTGGGGTTTTTGGTTATGGGTCATCCTCTATATTTTATGGAGGATTTTAAGGACCTTATTAACATTCTAATTGATATATAAATAATTCTGTACATGGGTTGCCACCCTCTTAGTGCCAGTAATTATTTATGCACACCATATTTCAAAAAAAAAAATATTTTATGGAGGATTTCAGGGACCTTATTAACATTCTAAATGATATGTAAATAATTTTGTATATGGGTTGCCACCCTCTTAGTGCCAGTAATTAATTATGCGCACCATATTTTTATTTCAAAAGAAAAAAGATGTAACATGAACCTACCTTGGCTTTTTGGACAGGGCGCCCCCTCAAGTCATCCTTCATATCAACAGTTGAGGTCATGATCTCTGCAGAGAGAGCACATAATTTGCCACAGGTCCAATAAAACAAGTACTTGCAAAACAGAAGAAAGAATCTTACTCTTCTCAACAGCCAAACCATTATTCTTCAGAATTTCAGCAACGGTAACAACTGTAGCAATGGCTGTAAATGTATGGAAGAGAAGGAAAACAGAATGAATAAGTAACTAAAGAGAACAGCTATTTTTTTGCTGAGGAAAAAATAATGCCATTAAGAAGCACCAACAAGCTGTCACCCATGCACAAAATATTTACAATTCTCTCAAAGAGAGAAAATTTCAAGCAGATCAATAAGGAAATTCCCTTCAACCAGAGAACATGATCATTAATCAACACGGCCACTCTCTCACAAACATCGGCTCTTTTAAGATGAATCATTGAAATAAGAAGCATAAGATAAAACCTGTGCCTTTTAACCAAATCTGCATGAAAGTTTTCATGAGGCATGGAAACCTTTCTAAAAACTTATCAACAACTTAAATTAAGTGAAAACAAATTCAGAAACAATTGGATTTGCCACCAACCTAAGAAAAATCAGATTTCATTTAGTGTTCACAAATTTTAAAGGCAAATAACTACAGTACAGCTAGAGAATAGTAAACTTAGTTTGGAGTTGTTGATGTAACAAGTCAGTATCAGCAATCACTTCAACCAGAAAACTACAATTCATAAGCACACCAAATCCTACAAAAACAAGAATCTAGATATAAAAGTACCTCCTTTTCACTTTCATATCAAAAGCCACTGATAAATAATAGTGAAGATTTCAAAAGCAGAAAGCAGAGGAGAGAACACTAAAAATAATTCGTCTCATGTGGTAGATTAAAGGCCTGAAAAAAATTCCATAGTTGCTACTTCTATAAGTGTGGATAAGACACCCCGGCCCTTACTACCTTTGAGAACATCAACCAGGCAACTTTAAACTAAAATTTTCAGCTCTGTGAGAGTAAAAGGAGCAGCGACTGAGTTGATTCTGAATGAGCTTAGGGCCTAATCAGGGGATTCTAAAAAGGCAAAAATAAAGCAAAGCACCCCTTCTCCTATCCATATTTGGAATTCTTGGAAAGAAATGAACAACAGAACTGCAAAAGGAGCAAAAATGAAGCACTCATTCCTGCTCATCTGGTTAGAGACCATGGGTGTGTATTCTTTTCCTTGAATTACTTGTCAAATTTTCTGCAAAGATGGAGAATTAGTAGACCTCATAGATTTTTATGTCTGAGGGAGAATCTCTTTGTTTCTTCTTGCAACCAAAGAAAGCAAAACAAACAAAAAAGAAACTCATATAATTTTGCAAGCATAGATTAGAGATTCCGCAATCACAGTCAACTAACAAACAAGATCAAGAAAGGGGATATAGATATTGAGACATAAAATGAAAAAGAAAAAAAGAGAGGCACAAATTAAAAGCATAGAAGAGCCAAATAACAAAATACCCATTCCAAGTGCAGACAGCTCGACTTCATTGTGTTGCTGCATATACCTCTGCGGGAACCATAAAAAAAGGACAGAACCAAAGAAAATAATGATTAACTTAGACCAGACAAAACAAAAATACCTAATTTTATGATTAAATGCACAAAACCTACAAGAGACGAAGGATTAACTGTTCATTAACCATTACTCCGCCAGAGTGACCCAGAAATTAAGAGATTTCAAATCAATAAAATCCCATATTCCCGAAACGTAAAACATAAATCCATTAGTAATAACCCCTAAACAGCTGGAGTAAGGTAAAGTGACGTCAACATTTCGGAAGCAGGTAAAATTTCTTGTTAACTTTCGTCATCTCTACAGTGAGCTTTCATAGAGTATAAATACACGATACGAAAACAAACATATAGATTAAGGATACCTTGGCGAGGTTGACGTAAAAGAACAAGGGTTTCTTGGTGTTGGAGACTTGAATCCGGTTCTTCTTGTGTAAATCCGCAGCGAGGTTGATGTTGTTGACTCCCTCCGTGATCTCCTCCATTAAGCTCAAGCCAACAAAACCCTTACCCTAAACCTGGAAATTTCCTTCCTCTCTCAGGAGGGAGATATATCGAGGAGAACACAGCTGGGAGAGAAGCCGATGCCCTAATTAACCGAAGCTGTTTGTTTGGGGTTTTAATGGAAGCTTTAAAAAGTATTGTATGCAGAGAGACTTGATAAATACTGAAAAAAAAAAAGGAAACATAAAGTTGAATAAAATAAAAATAATAATAAATAAATAAAAGTTGAATTTCTTAAAACTTATCTTCTCTTTATTTTAAGATTTAAATTTATCTACTCTTTCGAATATATATTTTTTAATATACGAACTTATATGATTTATATTTTATTTAATGTGGAATTTATTTTAAATCTCATATGGTAAGTAATATAATAACTATTTGTATTGTAGTTTTTTTTATTTAATCTATATTTTTATTTTATTAAAGATAGTTTTAAAAAAATTATTTACAAGCTTAATTTTATTAAGATAGTTAGAAGAGAGGTTAGTTTGGTAATTGAGTGACATTTTCCACTTAGTTAAACTCTTGTGATATTTTTGTTTCAAATTATATTTATAATTATTGTAATCGAATGACATAAGTCTTAGGGAGACACTAAATGTATATGGTGATATTATATTTATCAAGGAACCAGATAATTTTTTAATTTACTTGTTCAGTGATAATTTTTTATTAGTTTTTTTATCAACAAATATGTTTGATGTACGCAACAGACTATCAATTTATTGAAACCATTTAAAAATGATCAATTTTGATTAAACGGGTATGGTGTTTAATGCATTTAATTTAAGTATAGACTTATAATATGTGCAGCTATCATATTTATAATTTATTAAAATCATTTAAAAATGATCAATTTTGATTAAACAGTTATAGAATTTAATGCATTCAATTTAAGTATAAACTTATAATAAGTGCAGATATTATATTTATAATTTTTCATTTTATGATTGAAAAAATAAAAAATAACAAAAGTCAGACAATATAAAATGCGGTTATAGTCCCTGTATCACACGTGTGTTTAATTTATTTCTTATTATACCGTAAGTAAGAATTACTTTTTTACAACCGCATGTTGTTTTAAAAAATTTATCGTATAATGCAAAGATTCATTCCGCTATGAATTCAAGTATACTTATGTGTTTATTATATTTGATTTAATATGAGATTTGTTTACGAATTTTTAAAATATGCTTTGATTTAATTCTAACATTTTTCTCCCTAAATAATTTAAAGGTGTTGTGATTTTATTAAAAAAAATGATTATTATACTTTTAGTTGCCTAAGACACTATTGTTATATTTAAAAGTATTTAACCAGATTTTTTGCTTTGCTGTTGACAACCCAGAAGTTTGATTAATATTTAATATGTGTTATTCGTTAGTAATTTAATATTCTTAAAACAAAATTTTGAATTAATTATTTATTAACACTTCTTTTACTTGTTACAGATTATTTTAATAATATTTTTAAAAATTAAATTAGAAGTAATATGTATACGGAATAAAATAAATAAAATAGATACATAGAATTTGTTGAAAATTTATAAAAAGAAGTAATTACAAAAATAAAACTACGAACTTAAGCGATTATATTGAGAAGAAAACACCAGCAAAAAAAATCCAATAAACAAATTGCTTGTTGAATTTTAATATTTATTATATTTTGTAATCAACTAATTAAAGTTAGTTCTAACTGTTTTTAAAATTATATAAATGCTTTTTAGTTTTTATATCTCAGACTTCCCAATTAAGGGAGTAAATTAGAACTAAAGCACGTTCTTAACGGAAAGGGGCGATAAATTTGGAATACAACCTTTCTTTGTTATCGGTGTGGGACACCATCCTTTCTCAATAATCATCGATTAACTTTGCTCGCTACCGATGTGGGAAAGCACCCTTTCTCAATATTCCTCATAAGTTGGATTACCAATCTCATAATACGTGACAAACCTTCTACTGTTGATTGCTTGTTGTGCAATAAAGCAAGCACACGCTGTAATTAATTTTCTGCCATGAAAGCAATCATAGGACGCACAACCTCCTTACATTGCAAGTTAATGTCTTCGACATTGATACAATTCCAGGCAAGTGCTTGCTAACCACGAAACTAGCCATCCGAACATGATACATCAAGAATAGAAATCAGTGTCATGATAATGACAGAAAATAGACATCAAATCAGATTTGTATTCATCAGAAAAGGACAGGACAACGACTATTTTTAGGTTGGGATAACATAAAAAAAATTCGTCATGTTTTTGGTTGAGATTTTACTTGAGAATACTCCTTCAAGATTGGGATCAGATTGAATCAAATGGGAGTGTCCAGGTTGTCGTAACCAGGCGTGGGGCGGACACCCCTCTCGCAAATTAGAAGGCGAGAGATGACCACTCATCATATCCCGTTAACTGCCTGAAGGATCATGGTTTTATACGCCACCAGCTCGCGAAATTATTTACAGGAAGCTAACCCAATACCGTAACTACGAGTCGATGTGGGATGACGAAACAACACTTATCATCTTCAACTAAATCTTCTCTTCATATTTTAAGCTGCTTTAAGATAAGATGAAATGTTAATCTATTTATTTATTTATTTCATGTATAAAATAAATTAAAAATTATAATATTTATTTATTTTTCAATCTATAATAATTAGTTTCAACAAGTAAATTTATTTTTTCAAATTAAGTTATAACCATCAAATAAATCCGTAAAAAGAATAAGAACCCAAATTTACTATCTAATAATTTGTTTTCCCAATAAATATGAATAGTTCAGAACCATCATCATAAACCAGCTCGCCTTCGTTTACTTCGAGAAGGGTAAGATCCATTTAATCTCTTAAACCCGAGTTGTGATTTAATGCATCTAAATCTTATCTTAAATTAGCAAATATGAGTTAGGAGTTGTTAGGTCCCGATCAGAAGCTGGTAAATATTTAAGAAAGTTTTTCTCTTTTGAGCAAGAAACACCACAAATTAATTTGCAGAATTTAACTTCCTTTCATCCATGATGATATGCTGATGGAATTGTGGGATGCAGTAGTTGTGCAGAGATCGTGGGAAGTGTTGGTACTGCTTTGACTGTTTCATAGCTCCAGCTCTCTTACTGATCATATACTTGGGCTTCTTTATGGGTTGTCGTTGAGATCTTTGGATCCTATTATTGCCTCCCCCTTTTGGAGGAACCTTGTCCTCAATGTTTTGAAGGCCAAAACGTTCTTGTAGTTTTAAATATTTTTTTTGTCTTCTTCCTCCAGAACCCCATGGTGGGTCTAATTTACAGACACCTCTCCGTTCATATTTCCTAGAAAAATAAAACCAAAATGCCACACGGCGAATAGGTTGGGAATAGAAGGGTGGTCGGCCCTGTCACCGAAATGGTCGACAAGTAGTCGTTTAAGCTAATTTAATATATGTGTATGTATATATATATAGTAATTTTGATTAGGGAGACTGCTGCACTTCATTCATTTTCTGCTTATTACTAAGTTATTTTGTTTATTTCTCTTTTGTTTCTCCCTCTTTTTTTTTTTTTGCTTTTCCAATCCTCTCCCTCAGTTTCATTCTTCATGAGCGTCTCTTAAAACTAGCAAAAGTTGGTTCTTTTG